CAAGTTTATTCTGCCTCCAGTCTACAGTTGCGGATGGCCAACCATCAGGCCCTCCTAGACTGCTATGATTCTAATATGAGGGCTCAACTGGGGCCAGAGCAACACTCCAGGCAGCGTTGGACATGGTGGACACTGCCACCCATACCATGGCATCAGTCATCTCATTGTTCAGGGCTTCATGGCTTCTCTTCTCTGGTCTTTCCTCAGAGGCTCAGCAGTCAGTGCAAGACCACCTTTTCCACAGGCACGCCCTGTTCGCAGAACAGACCCACAATAAACTCTGGCCTGAGAGATTCCCCCAGGACCATGAAAACACTGGGCCTGTATGTCCCCGGCCCTTCCTGCAAGCGGTTTAAGCCGCAGCAGCCTCAGAGCCAGGGGAGCCACCCGAGCCAGGATCCTCCTCATAAAATATCCATAAAGAGGCAGCCTGGCTACCACCCCCTGTCTACATCCTAGGTGGGCTCAACCTGCAGTAAGCAGACTGGCAAGCGCCCGTTTTGAGGGTATACCCAAGGGCAACCTACCAGGCTGTTCCCCAGATCCTTCCTCCCCTCCTGTTTACCAACTGCCTTTCTTCCTTCCCTGTGTGGGCGTCTATAACATCAAACCAATGGGTCCTCAATATGGTAGTGCAGGGTTACACCCTTCAGTTACTTTCTGCCCCCCCCCGCCCCTTCGCACCCTGTCCCTCTTCAGGGACTCTTCTCGTGCAGGAGGTAGAGGGACTACTACAGCTGGATGCGGTGGAGGTAGTTCCTGTGGAGTACAGAAACAAGGGGTTAATTCCGATACTTTTTAATCCTCAAGGCCAAGGGTGGTCTGCAGCCTATACTAGACCTGCAGGGCTTGAACTGCTATTTAGCAAAACTGAAGTTCCACATGGTCTTCCTGCCCTCCATCAACCCCTCCCTGGATCTGGGAGACTGGTTCTCTGCCCTCAATCTGAATGATGCGTACTTCCATATCGCCATCTTTGAGGGACACAGACGCTTCCAGTTCACAGTAGGTCCTGACCACTATCCGTTCGCAGTCCTTCTGTTTTGGCCTAGCGACAGCATCACGGGTATTTACCAAGTGCACATCAGTGGTGGCGGCTTACCTCAGACATCGGGGAATCCAGATCTACCTGTACCTTGATGACTGCTCATCAAGGGCAACCCCAGGTCCAAGGGACGTCGCAGTGCTGCTGGCCATGTGCTGTCGGCTCGGCCTGTTGGTGAACGACACAATCCACGTTCGTTCGGGTATAGAGGATAGAGTTAATCGGAGTGGTGCTCAACTCAACCTGTGCCGGGGCATTCCTGTCGCTGGAGACATTCAGGGCATTAGCAGACCTCATCATGGAAGTTTCCATGTCCAGGTTTGCCTGTACCTCCTAGGTCACATGGTGGCATGTACATATGTTGCGCGTGCTATGCCAGGCTCTGGATGTGACCCCTGCAGCAATGGCTGACTGTCTACTCCCAGTCCAGGCCACCTGGAAAAGGTGGTCACCATTCCCGCAACAATACTCGCCTCACCTCACCCCAGGAATGTCCTGGAAGGAGTCCCCTTTGACAGCACTCCCCACTCAGTCAAGTTCTTGGATGCCTCGGATCTTGGTTGCAGGGCGCACCTCAACAATCTCCAGACCCAGGGTACGTGGTTCCCAGTAGAGATGACGTTACACATAAACATCAAAGAGTTCAGGGCAGTCTGCAGGGCATGCACAGTCTTCCTTCCTCACCTGTCTGAGTCTTGATGTCTATCAACAGACAGGGAGGAGCTTGAGCCTATGCCAAGAGGCACTCAGTCTTTGGGACTTGTGCATCAACCACAGTATCAGTCTAGAATCATAGAATATAAGGGTTGGAAGGGACCCCAGAAGGTCATCTAGTCCAACCCCCTGCTCGAAGCAGGACCAATTCCCAGTTAAATCATCCCAGCCAGGGCTTTGTCAAGCCTGACCTAAAAACCTCTAAGGAAGGAGATTCTACCACCTCCCTAGGTAACGCATTCCAGTGTTTCACCACCCTCTTAGTGAAAAAGTTTTTCCTAATATCCATTCTAAACCTCCCCCACTGCAGCTTGAGACCATTACTCCTCGTTCTGTCATCTGCTACCATTGAGAACAGTCTAGAGCCATCCTCTTTGGAACCCACTTTCAGGTAGTTGAAAGCAGCTATCAAATCCCCCCTCATTCTTCTCTTCTGCAGGCTAAACAATCCCAGCTCCCTCAGCCTCTCCTCATAACTCATGTGTTCCAGACCCCTAATCATTTTTGTTGCCCTTCACTGGACTCTCTCCAATTTATCCACATCCTTCTTGAAGTGTGGGGCCCAAAACTGGACACAGTACTCCAGATGAGGCCTCACCAATGTCGAATAGAGGGGAACGATCACGTCCCTTGATCTGCTCGCTATGCCCCTACTTATACACCCCAAAATGCCATTGGCCTTCTTGGCAACAAGGGCACACTGTTGACTCATATCCAGCTTCTCGTCCACTGTCACCCCTAGGTCCTTTTCCGCAGAACTGCTGCCTAGCCATTCGGTCCCTAGTCTGCATGTCACCTCCTGGGGATCAAGAACACATTAGTGGATCACCTAAGCTGGGACTTCTCCTCTCACCATGAGTGGGTGCTCCACCATGAGGTAGCCTGCTTGGTCTTCCAGAGGTGGGAATATCCCCAAATGGATCTGTTCGTCACCAGCAAAACAGGAAGTGCTACCACTTCTGCTTCAGATGGGGTCTGGGCAAGGGCTCCTTCTCCGATGCCTTTCTTCTGTCCTGGGTGGGAAGCCTGATGTACGTGTTCCCCCAATCCCACTTGTCAGTAGGGTCCTGGCAGAAGTCAAGAGAGACAGGGCCAAAGTTATCATGATCACCCCAGCGTGGATGCCCCAGCATTGGTTTAGCATGCTGTTGAGCTTGGCAGCAGTCCCCTGTGGCCCCTGCTGGACTGACCAGCCCTATTGTCACAGGACCGCGGTCGCCTCTTGCACCCCAACCTTACGTCTCTCCATCTCATGGCATGGATATTGCATTGATGACCCCCTGAAGAATGGGCCTGTTCAGAGGAGGTCCAGCAGGTCCTCCTGGGGAGTAAAAAACCCTGGACTAGACAGACCTTTCTGGCAAAGTGGACAAGACTTTTCCACTGGGTGGCCAAACGGGGCATCTCCCCTTCGCATTCTTCAGTGCAGTTGATCTCTGCCTTTCATCCACCTGTCCGGGGCAGACTGTTTTCCCATGACATGACATGATGGCCAGGTTCCTCAGAGGTATCGAGACCTTTTTCCTCAAGTCCAGTCCCACAATGGGATCTCAACTTGGTTCTGTCCAGGCTCACAGGCCTAGCCTTTGGCCTCCTGCTTCCTGTCTCACCTATAGTGGAAGGTAGCTTTTCTGGTGGCAGTGACATTGGCGAGGCAAGTCTCCAAGCTGCAAGCCCTGACCTCGCAACTGCCTTCCAGCGGCCTTCTATAAGGACAGGGTCCAGCTCCAGCCCCATCCGGCTTTCCTTCCCAAGGAGGAGTCCACTTTCCACATGTGCCCGGACATCTTCTTTCCAGTCTTCTGCCCTAAGCCCTATGAGACTAGTGAAGAGAGGCGCCTCTGCGCTTTGAACATAAGGGCCCTGGCTTTCTACCTAGATCGGACAAAACCTTTCTGTAGGTCGACTTAGCTTTTCATCTCTACAGCTGATAGAAATCCTCTGTGTGGACACCAGGAGGCTCTTCATCTTAACTAGATTATCTCTTGCATAAAAGCTTGTTACAAGCTGGCGGGGGCCCCACTGCCGCCAATTGTCAGAGCCCACTCGACTAGAGCGCAGGCATCCTCGCTGGCCTCCGGCACATGTTCCAATCCAGGACGTCTGTAAAGCCGCGGCATGGTCCTCAGTACACGCTTTCATGGCCCCCATGTCATCACGCAGCAGGCCAGGGACGACACGGGGTTTGGCGCAGCTGTGTTGCAATCTACATGTCCATGAACTCCTTACCCACCTCCATGGGTACTGTTTGGAGTCCCCTAAGTTGAATGAACGTGAGCAATCACTGGAAGAAGAAAAGACAGATACTTTTTTCTGTAACTGGTGTTCTTCGAGATGTGTTGCTCATGTCCATTCCACAATCTGCCCTCCTTCCCCCCAGTTGGAGTTTCCAGCGAGAAGGAACTGAGGATGGAGGGGGCCAGTGGCTTTCTATTTATTTGGGGATTGAGCGGAATCCACCCTGACAGACTTGGAACTTACTGATCTTACAATAACTGATTCAGGAATTCTCCATATGGATTTTATGTCCACCCTCCATCGCAGCTCCTTCAGAGTCCATCTCTGCTTTGAGATTCTGGATTAGCCAGAGAGCTGAGGTGGCTGGGGCTGCTATGCCTGTTACCCCCTTGGGTGGGGGAGCTCAAGCACAAAGGGTGTGTAGGTGTGGCTCCAGCAGACGCTGCTAGCCAAAAGATTCTGATCTCACATGCCTGAGGTGCATGCATGCCAAGTGGGATCTACAGATAAAACAGTTAAAAAAGCCGTTTCTGTAAGGTAGCGGGTTTTTCCCCTGAGCACCAGCCATCAGTGCAAGTAGAACAAAATGAGCAGCAGTGGTGGTCCTTTAATTTAAAGAGAACCATCACCACACTGCTGTAAGCATGTTGAAATCCTCCATGGCTCTTTAACAGTTTAGCCAGTTGTAGCATACTTGTCTTTCCCCAAATTTGGCATAGGGCAGACAATAGGAGTGTATGCAATCTAGACACTCATGTGGGAGTAGGGCTAATTGGGTCTTTTGTCCTGGCCAAAGCCAGGTTAGTCTCTTGAGTGGTATACAGCTTCTTTATAATCTTCCTATAATTAATCTGTGTGGGTAGGGAAGGGTGGACTAATTTCTGGAATAAAATCCAATTTCTGCAAAGACCTACTAGGCAGTTCTAGTGTTAAAGATTTTTTCCAAAATCTTCAGAGCTCTCTTGCATGTGATGTATTTATTCAAATGTAAACTGTTCTGTAGGCGAGGTGAAGACCTGTTCATGTCCATGGACATACAGCTGGTTGAGGCACTGTGTGGCTTTCAGAAACCTATTGCAACGCTGGATAACAGAACTATAATTATTACGTCTCATCCTGGTAAGTGTGTTTAAAAGTATTGCTGTTAAACTTGTGCAGCTAGCAACATTATCCTTGAGTTCTCCAGTTGCATAGTAAAGGGACTAAAAGAGCATTTCAAGTAATAGTATTGGTTTAAAGTATTAACTTGGGCCAGAAAGTGTAAATCTCTCAGTCAAAGTCTTTTATACTCTAAAAACACTCTCCTTGAAAAGATTAAGTTTTAACTAGTATGTCCTGGTGGATGAGTTATTGGATTAATAACTCAGACTAATGAAAGATGCGACTTGTACATCAGGGTGTAACTTTCATAACTAACTGCACTCCACTCAGCAACAGATAAGACTCTCTCTCATGCACGGCTGTTTGTAACTTGTCTTGACTAGATATGTGGGGGGAATTTAAGAAGGCCCCAACTCCTGTGAAAACTGGAGTTCTTGAGCTCAGAATTCATGGAATAGTGTCTGTTCAGTCAGAACACACTGCATAAGAGGGCTTCTTTCAGGATGCATGAACACACAATTGCATATGTATGCAGTGGTGGTGTAGCTGTGTCGGCCCGAGGATATTAGAGACAAGGTGCGTGAGCTATTACTATATTGGATGAACTTCTCTTGGTAAGACAAGCTTTTGAGCTTCACAGAGCTCTTCAGGTCTGGGAAACGTACTCAGTGTCACAGCTAAATACAAAATTGAACAGATACTTTTAGCATAACCACTTATGTTAAAACTAAGTTAAATATGTCCTAAGGGAAGATGATGTGGCCTGTTACTACCCATGTAGTCGTAGGTAAGGCTGCGGGTCTGTCATGGATTCTGTAATTTCCTGGGACTTTTGCAGCAGCCAGTGTCCCTGACCCCAGGACCACTGAGGTGGTCTCCTACCATCACCACAGCACCAGTGGTGGTCCCGGGCCGCATGCCGCTGTCCCAGAGCACTGCAGTGCCCTGGCCCTGCCTCTCCGCTCCTCTTCTGCCCCCCAGCACCAAGATTCAGTCAGGGATATATCGTACAGGTCATGAGCCATGACTTTTACTAAAAACACCCATGACTAAGGCTAAGTGTCACAGAGGTCATGGAAGTCACAGAATCTCATCAGAAGCAAGCACCCGACAGACCAAGACACCAACTTAAAGCAACACCAGACACAACCAGAACAGATGTATAACAGCACCCCTTTCGAGATAGAGGGGTCCTACACATGCCTATCACATGTGGAGTACCTCATTCAGTGCACTGACTGCCCCGATGACACCTGTGTAGATGAAACCAAACAATCACTACATTCAAATGAACTCTCACAGTAAAATGATAAACACAAACGCCCTGTCATCTGTGGGTGAGCACTTCTCACAAAGCGATCACTTTATCTGACCATTAGTCGTCCACAAAGGACACCTGCACAACACCCTCAAAAGATGAGCTTGGGAGCTTAAATTCATAACTCTGCTAGACACTGAAAATCAGATTGGTTAGACACTATATTTGTAGCTTATTACAACAATCTGTAACTCACTCTTTTTACCCTATGACTACAGGGGTGTTAACAGGCCACTTCACCTTGAATGATCCCTTAGAATATGTGCTATCTGTTTGATCTTCTATTTAGCTGTGACACTCAGAGTACCTTTCCCTGACCTGAAGAAGAGATCTGTGTGGCTTGAAAGCTTGTCTCTCACCAACAGAAGTTGGTCCAATAGAAGGTTACTTCACCCACCTTGTGTCTCCAATCACATTATATAGCCTTTTAAGACCACTTCTGGGTAGAGGAGAGTTGGCATTACCATTTACAGGCAACCAGGTTTTTAGCAGCCTTTATGAAGGGGGGCCTGGATCAGTATAGTTTCATGAATGTTAGCCCAGAAAACATGGTGTGAAAGGGAGTTGAGGGGAGATCACATAAATGTAGCAACTATAACAGCTTGTCTTCTGTCTGGGTTTTTGCTTTAGGTCAGATCGTCAAGCATGGAGATATCAAATGTGTGCTGAACGAGGGTATGCCAATTTATCGCAGACCGTATGAAAAAGGGCGCCTGATCATGGAGTTCAAGGTAAGAGTTCAGGCAGCTGTGTATAGTTAGTTAAACATGGCTCAGCACTGAACATGGTGGAAACCTGTCAGGTTAAAGTTGACTTCTATTTCTAAGGGGGACAAGAAGACAGGCACTCAATCTTTGCTTGTTTCTGCCTTCAGTTCTGCCAAAGGCTGTGTAAACTAATCCAATATACAGGGTTATGCTGCTTAGAATAAGCTGAAATACTGACATTTTAAAAATAACTGCCTCAAATAGCTTGGAGAGGATCTTAAATGTGGACACTTTTCTTTGGAAACTACTTTATTGGAACAGTCATCTTGTAGGCAAAACATAGTGCATAGAGAGAGATCTGGAAAACCTGATAATGGAAGGCAGCCAGATTGTATGAGAGGTTTGACAAAAGTAAAAATGCATTCTACTTGCTAGCTTGTTTTTTTGTTTTTTCCCTTGGGAAACTTGGGAGCCTAGAGCTACCGAAAGAGCCCTAGGATTCTGCTACAAGCTGATGCTTGTAGGAGCAAGGTAGCACATGCCTCTCAAAGCAGTAATACTTTGTGGTGGAGAAAAAACTGTTAAAGACTGTTCATGAATGGCCATCCTTACTGATTTTTTCAGGTAAACTTCCCAGAGTGTGGCTTCCTCTCTTCTGATAAGCTCTGTCTATTGGAAAAACTTCTACCTGCAAGGAAGGAAGTGGAAGAAACTGAAGAAATGGATCAGGTAGAGCTGGTGGACTTTGACCCTTCTCAAGAAAGAAGACAGCACTACAATGGAGAAGCCTATGAAGACGATGAGCATCATCCTAGAGGTGGTGTTCAGTGTCAGACATCTTAAAATGGCCAGTGAATAACCATTGTGATGCTTGTTTTGTATGCATTAGTGGGTGAGTGAAGACCTACAGGCAGCTCACTCGCTCCTTGCTATTGTTTTTGTTTTAATATTCAACCATAGTTGTGTTTTTTTAAAACAAGTTAATGAATAAAATCAATATTAGAAAACCACACACTGACTTTGCAATTTATGTAAAGTTCAGGGTGCAAGCTCAGCTGAAGTTGACCAATGAAGTCAGCTACCCCTGGCAGCTTGTCTTTATTTCAGGCCTTGTAATTCTTGTATTTTAATTGTATGCAAATGCACTGGCTTAGATTAAGATTGTGTGGTGGTCTTTTAGATTCTATGCCCTGTTAATGAAGTATACCCAAGTATTTATTTATAGTTCATGTTAAGATCAGTGAAAGTTTCTGTTCTAATCAGACTGTAGAACATAACCTGTGACTGTTTTGGACTTGTACTGCTATTCATCAAATCAGGACTTGCTCTAATGCAGCTGCACAGTGCTGTACTGATTACCTCACTCTGACAAGGATGTGGTCCATCTTCATATGCCCACTTAAACTCCGGCAGATGCACCAGCTCCCTCAACCTGCTGGATTTGAGATTTTTACAGATCCTTTTGCCTGCCCGCTTCATTCTTTTGTGACCCACTAGTGGATTACAAGTGAAGCTTCCTGCTGTTATAAGCACAGGCAACTTGTCAGGCACTAGTGAACAGTGGGACAGCACTAATGTGCCTAATTAAGGAGAGCTAGAATTTTAACCCCATAGTCCTTATTTGTGAGTGAGGCAAGCAGAACAGCTGAGCTTGCTATTCTAAATCCCTAAAGTAGTCTCTGCCTACTGATGTGAAGTTTGACCTCCAACTTGATGCATTAAGTTAGAGGAAGTACCACAGACTCAGTACTGGGGAGTGAAGGTGAAAGGTATATGACCCTGTATAAGGAATTCAATATTAACCAGAAGAGTGGATGACCAATTGAGAGTCCAGTATTTGTATCAAAGTTCTCATCTTTCTGTGTGCATAATCTTAATCTAATTCTTGAAAGACTCTGTATTGTTCCAGTTATTGTAGGCAAAACTTTTCCAATATAATTACAAAACTGTTCAATGGCTCCTAAGACTATTTTGTGTTATAATGTTAGTCTACTTTCAGGCTGCTTTTGGGGGCTGAAGGGGGGAAATGCACAAAGTTTCTTAAAAGGGCTGCATTCAACTCAAGTCACGTGTATTGAAATATGAAGTTGCACATTTTAGTCAAACTACCTACTTAAAATACCCTAGACACAAGGTGCATGAGGTAATATGTTTTGTTGGACTAACTACTTTTGGTGTTCTTGCCCCCTGTTGTCTTCAGATTTGTTTATTTTTCACAAATCTAGCAGATTTACTAATAGTGGCTGGTTTCAGAGTAGCAGCCGTGTTAGTCTGTATTCGCAAAAAGAAAAGGAGGACTTGTGGCACCTCAGACTAACCAATTTATTTGAGCATAAGCTTTCGTGAGCTACAGCTCACTTCATCGGATGCATTCAGTGGAAAATACAGTGGGGAGATTTATATACACAGAGAACATGAAACAATGGGTGTTACCATACACGCTGTAATGAGTGATCACTTAAGATGAGCTGTTATCTCCTTGTAGAGGTCCAGTAATTGTAGGCCCACTCAGTTGTCTGTTATAGAGGAATTCCGTTACAGTTAATGGAGAAGGGTGTTGTATGGTTGTCAGACAACCATACGCTTCGGGAAAATTTCCTTGCCCCACAGCACTGGAAAGACATTCCATGCTAGTGAAGTGAGCAGTGTACCTCACAGGTGTGAGCAGGGGCACTGCAGCCTCATCACACAAGCTGGCTGCGGGCGGGTACTTACACTTCGGATGGTTTTCAGCACAAAGCGGGAAAACGTTTCAGCCATTGCTGCAGTAGCCCTCGGCGCATAATAAATGCAGTGGCAAGAGGCTTGCTGTGGGGTAAGACGGTAAACAAGCCACTGTGCAATAACCTGATGTCTCCTCCATAGGTGAATCTAAAAGTGGTGGTTTTGCTCCACAGCTCTCTCCTGTAAGAGATGGTGTATTAATCACTCATTGGCTTAACTACATATTTCACAGGAACATATTCCTCTTTAATGCCCCCTGGTAAGGGGAAAAGTTCAGTGCAATGATACATTTGCTGTTTAGTAGCTTAGTTTAAAAACTAAATCCCACTTTTTCAGTCTAGGACAAAGTTTGGGAGGCCAGAGACTTAAATTTTTCTACACAACTTTTCTCCTAGGATTTCCTTTGTGACCATGGGTAACTCGGCCTAAGTGTACAGAATAAGAGGCTTGATTTTTTTTTTTTGTAATGTTCCTTGAGCTTCTCAGAGGGACTCTGTAGAAAGGCAAATATTTAAAATTAAAGCTCCATGCACTGCCTGTCTGATGAAAAATGGCAGGTGTATTTTTTGCTGATCTCTAGCTGAGTGTTTCCCAGGGAAAATTTTTTTCCACTTAAGCTGTTCACTTTGCATATTCTGTGCATTCCTTCCTTCCTTTTGCATCACCAGCAATACAATATTCTGCAGCTCCAATTCCAGCCACAGTCAAACCTGCCAAACTACTTGTTCATACACACAAGTGAGGGCAGCCTTCTGACTCACCTGTGGGAATGTGACGAACAATTCTGTTGATGCAGGAGACAGAATGGAATCAATTTCCTTCCTCATGGCTGCAGCATTTCAAGGAATAAAAATTTATCATAGAAGCTAGGATATAGTGTTTCGACTACACACAGGACACTTACAAAGTTACAAGTTTAGTCACTTCTGCTTCGTAACCCCACCTAGTGAAGCAGTGTTAAGAGAGGGGTGGGTACTTGAAACCTCTTCGGGAGAGTAATGAGTCACCGTGTGACCCTAAGCTAGTGTTCTGTTTTCCCCGAACTGCCTGAAAATATCCAGCTATCCTCTCCATAATCCATGCTAATCTCCAGTTGTGCCCACATTTGCAGTTTCCTTAGTGTTTTAATCCCCTACATTTGAGAGCCTAGAACTGCAGCAGCTGTCCATCTCTGCTTTGTGATGAGTGAATTCCTTCCCCACCCATCAAATTTGCTGTCTTTTATGAGAGAAGATAATGGGTCCAAGTCTCCAGCCTTTACACGTTACAGCCTCTCTTTCAATTATTACAGTAAACTCAAGCCCTTCGGAGCCCTCCTCAACTTTCTCTCTACTTGACTATCAAGCTCCCTTACTGTGCAAGCTATTCCTATTGCTACGACTTCCTATTAACTCTGTTCCCTGGCAAGTGGAGCTGATGAGGTCTGCTGGCTAAATCGTGGGACTGGACTTCAGGAGAGTTCTCGTCCCAGCTCTACCACTGATCACCTGTGGGACCTTGGGTAAGTCGGTTCCTACTTGCTTCCCCTTCCAGCTTGTTCCTGTTGCTCCTATTTAGATCATAAGCTCTTTGGAGCAGGGACTGCATGGTTTTTGTACTGCACCTAGTAGTATGGACAGCCCCGTTCTTAGCTGCTGTAACTGCTCTAAATAATGTCACCAGTGATTTCCTTTTGGCCAAATGTAAGGGCCTGCTCTCCTTTCTGCCACTTTTAGTACAGTTGATCACTCGTGTAGGCTTTTGCAATTCCACGTGCACTCGGTGTTCTCCTACCCTCAATCACTCATTCAGTGTCTTGTGCTTCTGTTCTTTCTCAGGGTTCTGGGCCCTTCTCTTCCTGGTCTACTTGCATCAGCATAGACGGCTTTCCCCTGTCTGTTCGCACATCTGTTTTTTGACACCCAAAGCTGGTTGTCTTGCTGCTTGCATTACAAAGATGAATGGAAGGTCCTGGTCACCCTTCGCTAGACTCGTTCACTATTTGAGATACTTTTAGCCGGGGCCGGCTCCAGGCACCAGCGTTCCAAGCAGGTGCTTGGGCCGGCCCTGTGAAAGGGGCGGCAGTCCGTGCGCCATTGGGGCGGCACTCGCCTTTCCACGGCCACTCGGGCGGCAAAAATGGTAGAGCCGGCCCTGCTTTTAGCATGTCCCTTTATGAGCTGAAATAATCCCAGTTTTTCCAATTGCTTTTCAGAGGAGAGATTTTTCTCCAGTACAAATGTTCTCAATCTGAGGAGCCCGCTCTTTGTGCTCCAAAGGGTCAGAGACCCCATCACTTTTTCTCTTGTCATTTAAAAATAATTTTCTAGCCCTTATAGTTGCAGAGAACTTTGAAAATATGAACAATTGAAGTGGTGCCTGTCTACCATTACAGAGCGCCTGAAAACAGCACTGAAGGATGTGACCCACCCCTTCATCACAGTCAAGGGCCTGGAGCCTCTGCCATTCAACAGCCATAGAAATTGGCATTTTTTTTCCCCCATGATGCCACAGCAATCAGTAATTCACCATGGAATGTGCCACTTTGATACAAACTTGGTGTTTTGTTTTTGTCTCCCTGCTGGGCCCGGCCTGCATCTGCCTCTTCATTTATAGGTTTCCCCTGCACGGGGAGTTAACTGGATCACCGCACGTGCTCCCTGCCCTGGTCCATAGAACCAGGCAACAGGGCAGTCACAGCCATCCCTTCTATGGATCTTTCAGCTGCAGCCTGAATTTGCTTTCTAGCACTCATTGCAAAGCACTTCTGTAACACTTTGTACCTCAGGGGAACACCCAGCATCCCCATGTTCATCCTTGTAAAATGATTGTGTGGTATCCGGTGTCTTCAGAAGGCCCATGATGCCCTGAGATTGTTGTTATAGTAATTGTTACAGCAATGTTATAGGTTGTAATTTCATTGTATAGTTATGAGGCTGAAAATGTGTCTTCACGGCTTAAAATAAGCCCAGGCAAAAACTCTCCAAAAGCAGGGAGGCAGTTCACACCTCATCAGGGCAGGTACGGGACAAACCCAGCCCAGGAACAAAGGACGCTGGCCTAGGCAGCAACAAAGGATCTGTTGGACTCTTGAGTGAGTCACCCCCTTCCTTTGGTCAGTTTGGGACTGCAATGAGGGGGTGGGAGGTACAAAGCCAAGAGGGAAGAAAGAACATGATAAAGAGAGACATTTGCCATGCTCTTCCTCTCTCTTCCACCTACTGTACATCTACAGTCACCATGCCCACCGAGTGACTGAAGCAGCTGATCGAAGGGGAGAGCCTGGCTGAAGGGCAACCAGCCAGTGGTGAGAAGCATGTTTGTAAGGGCACCAAACGTGTTAAGATCAGCTTTGAACGCATTTTTGTTTTTATTTCATTTGACAAATCCAACTTCTTGTGCTTAGATTTTAAGTGATTATAAGTCAATCTTTGTAGTGAATAAATCTGTTTGTTCTACTGAAGCAGTGTATTTGGTTTTTGAAGTGTGTCAGAGACTCGCCTTGGGCCTGGTACATCGCAATTTCTTCAGAAAAAGAACAGTAGTGATAATCAAGATGACCGATTTACACAGTTGACAAGAAGGTGTGAGGATACTTAACATGGGGAAATAGATTCAATATGTGTAATGACCCAGCCACTCCCACTCTCTGTTCAAACCCAAGTTAATGGTGTCTAGTTTGCCTATTAATTCAAGCTCAGCAGTTTCTCCTTGGAGTCTTTTTGAAGCTTTTTCTGTTGCAAAATTGCTACCCTTAAATCTTTTACTGAATGACCAGAGAGGCTGAAGTGTTCTCCTACTGGTTTTTGAATGTTATGATTCCTGGTGTCAGATTTGTGTCCATTTATTCTTTTGCTTAGACTGTCCGGTCTGGCCAATGTACATGGCAGAGGGACATTGCTGGCTCATGATGGCATCTATCACACTGGTAGATGTGCAGGTGAACGAGCCCCTGATGGCGTGGCTGGTGTGATTAGGCCCTATGATGGTGTCACTTAAACAAATATGTGGACAGAGTTGGCATCAGGCTTTGTTGCAAGGATAGGTTCCTGGGTTAGTGTTTTTGTTGTGTGGCTGCTGGTATTTGCTTCAGGTTGGGGGGCTATCTATAAGTGAGGACTGGCCTGTCTCCCAGTTTGTATGGCAACTTCCACCTTCTCTGTGTGTGTGTACATATATATATTCCATTCTATGCATCTGATGAAGTGGGCTGTAGCCCCCAAAAGCTTATGCTCTAAATTTGTTAGTCTCTAAGGTGCCATAATTACTCCTTTTCTTTTGGCGGATACAGACTAACACAGCTTCTACTCTGAAACCTGCAATTTCTTTGTTAAATTGACAAACTCATATATGCTTGCAGTATCCAGCGGGCATAACTGGACACTGGAAGATGGAGGTTCCTAGGGTTGTGTCTGGGACCAGAGATATTGGCTGCTGGCATTAGGTTGCACAAGCCAAGGAGTGGCTTACATGCCAGAGGCTGTGCGTGAACAGCCCGGGAGTGAGGGTTCTCACAGCAGAGCAGGGTCAGGCTGGCTCCCAGAGTCAAGGTTTGGAGTGACCAAGCAGATCACCGGTCTGGCTAACACCAGAAGAGAATGTCACTCTTCCATGGATCTTTCACCTGCAGCGTGAATTTCCTTTCCAGCAGTCACTGCAAAGCACCCCCTCCAATTCCTTGTCAGCTACTACAGTAATCCAGAGGGGCTGTGGCAGTAACTGGCCCAAGATTCAGCTACAGGCACAGCCAGTAAAAGGAGGGACCACTGAGCCACTTGGAGATCAAGCATCCATCTTTACCAAAGAACTCAATGAATTCTTCAAGGAAAAGCTGATGGTTTTACAAACCCAGGAGATTTTTTTATTACATAGCAATCAAGACAAGCTCTGGGGAGAACCACTGTCCTAATCACTCCTCTAATTCTCAAAAAGAAAAGGAGTACTTGTGGCACCTTAGAGACTAACCAATTTATTTGAGCATGAGCTTTTGTGAGCTACAGCTCACTTCATCGGATGCATACTGTGGAAAGTGTAGAAGATCTTTTTATACACACAAAGCATGAAAAAATACCTCCCCCCACCCCACTCTCCTGCTGGTAATAGCTTATCTAAAGTGATCATCAAGTTGGACCATTTCCAGCACAAATCCAGGTTTTCTCACCCTCCACCCCCCCACACAAATTCACTCTCCTGCTGGTGATAGCCCATCCAAAGTGACAACTCTCTACACAATGTGCATGATAATCAAGGTGGGCCATTTCCAGCACAAATCCAGGTTCTCTCACCCCCTCACCCCCCTCCCAAAAACCACACACACAAACTCACTATCCTGCTGGTAATAGCTCATCTAAAGTGACCACTCTCCCTACAATGTGCATGATAATCAAGGTGGGCCATTTCCAGCACAAATCCAGGTTTTCTCACCCCCCCCAACCCCCATACACACACAAACTCACTCTCCTGTAGGTAATAGCTCATCCAAACTGACCACTTGATGATCACTTTAGATAAGCTATTACCAGCAGGACAGTGGGGTGGGAGGGGGTATTGTTTCATGGTCTCTGTGTGTATATAATGTCTTCTGCAGTTTCCACGGTATGCATCCGATGAAGTGAGCTGTAGCTCACAAAAGCTCATGCTCAAATAAATTGGTTAGTCTCTAAGGTGCCACAAGTCCTCCTTTTCTTTTTGCGAATACAGATTAACATGGCTGTTACTCTGAATCCTCTAATTCTGCAATACCTCTTTTGGCAGGGGCGTGACCAGATGCACTTTGGACTTCTGCTGTCTGTGTGACAAGAACCAGGGGAGGGGTGAAGAGACACCCCAAACACATAAAGTGCCCTTTCTCCAAAAAGCCAGCTGTAGGTCTCCCAAGGGCTTGCAGGTCCTTGTGTTGAAGCACAGTGAGGACACATTGAGGTACAGATGATCCTACTTAAATATCTTCATTTTCAGCTCCATGACTGGTTAATATAAAAGAGCATAAATATTATCCCCAGAAACTTTGAAATGACCAAGTATAGAGGTAGGAAAGTAACCACTCCTGCTGTCTAAAATATTGCTATATCTGATGAAGTAAAAACTCCTTTTAACCCAGAACCATACAAATGAAAGGACCTGACCACTACAGTTTTAATGAACAGGGCCTATTCCTCCTGGGATAGTTTCTTTACAATGCAGTACTTCTAGTCCACCTTCTCATAGCTCAATATGAACCAAAACACAAAGCCACGCTGGATGTAACAAATCAAAGGAGGCCATCATCAGTTGATGACTGAGTTGCCTTCTTAATAATACCACCCAGCAGATGAAACAGTCTGAACTGGACCTACTGTCCATTAGTTAAAGGGAAGTTATCCTGGTTCAAGACTGCTTTAGGAATAAAGCATTTGATACAAAGATGAAGACAGTAAATAGTGCACTAGAGATTCAAGCAGATGTTTGGGTGTGTGAAAATGAAAGGTTACCCTTTTAAATCCTGTATATTTTGGAATCAAATGCATAGAAATAAGACTGTACTGTGAAAACAAAACTGTAGACAACTTTCAAAGACATTGGTGATTATTTGCAGGAAACTGTGTAAGCCATAATCTCAAATGAAAACAGTACACAGTGTGTTAGATTGTCAGGTCTAAAGGCTGGTCTTCATTGCAGGGTTAGCTTGAAGTAGAACTTGAGCCTGAATCCTAACCCATACACAAATCTCTAGCTTGAATTAAGCAGTGCTTTAAGCTCAGACTGGCGGGGGAGAGGAGGAGAAGGGCAGGGGTGTGTAAAGCTGGATTGCTGCTAGACCTAGTAATACAGTAGGGGGACAGCTGGAAGTAATTTATTAAAGATGCACACAGAAGCCTGTACTGATCCTTTCTTCAGGGTGGCTTCAAGCTGTTTTCTAAGGTAGTCAAAATGCAGTTATGCACCTCTCTGCTGGCCGCAAAGCCCACACGTGCAACTTCTTGTCATGTAAGCCATCTGTGGGTGGTTCTGCTGCGTAGAAGCCAGAAGGATACTTTGTTAAATGAGACCGTTAATATAAATGCAACAGAAAACCCCACTGTATTAGAATACTTCTGTCCTGAAAAAGCAAGGCAGCTTAGGATCAACAAAATCCATCTTTGCTAAGGTGGAGACTCTCTCTTCTTGTTTATTCCAATCTCAGTCCCTGAAAGAAAGAAAGGAGCCATCTGCTACACATTTTAGAAAGTCAATCATTTATAAATTGATGGTGGTTTTTCCATCTATAAACAGCACAAAGGAAAAGCACAAACTTCACAAGACAGAATAATGGCTTCTACAGCAATTAAACTGCTTTAGCTACCCAGATAGAGGGTTAATGAAAGTGTTCTTTTCACTGACACTGTACAGCTAATTTAGAACAAGTACTGAAAAACAGTTCTGGGCTCCTGAACTGAAAATTATACTCAGCATATTTGGACTTATAAAACCATGAACACAACAGCCCTTCATTTAAGAAGCATTCTCCAAAGCTAGTTAAAAACTGTTATGGTTTCCAGAGTTTCAAGAGGCCATCTTCACTGTAGGTAGCGATCAAGTTCTGATGGGGATGGTGAGCGATGCCAATTACATCCTTTTCATGAACCTACAGGATGAAAGGGAAAAAAATTGATGCAAGTCTTCTCTGCACATCACCTCAAACCAAATAATATTCTCAGGCAAAAGCAACAGTAAGATGAGTAAGGTTCAGAGCACATGTCAGTAATTTAGGGCCAAGCAATGCAGGAAGTGTGGCTATGCCAATGAGACCCTACCCCACATCTTGTGTAGCTGCAAGCTCCATTCCAGACCCGTGACAGGCAGCTGCGACACAACACCATCCAAGACTGCCTAGTCAGATCCACCCCACCACCTCTGGGGAAGGTGGACGTGAACTCCACCATCCCTGGAACGGACAGCCAACTCAATTACTGAGGGACAATCTACACTCATTGCTATATTTGCTTTCCACAACCAACTCTTAGTATAAACATTTATGAGTGATGTACCTGAACATTTGGATGTTAATATCTAAACTGTATCATTGAATTTATTAGCTTAAATTTGGGTTATTGCAGATTATGTACTACATGTATTTTATGAGTTTTAAACCAAACTTTGTACTTTTGGATAATTTATGCACTATACCCAGATGTACAGACACTCTTTCCTTAACCTGTGTATTATAGGATTTTAACATTAGCTTTAATAATAATTTTTAAATCTATTCTTCTGTTGGTGCGCTTATAACTATTCATGGCGGCAAGGTGCTTATAGCAACTATCATTTATTAATCCTTTGTAAACTATTTATAAATTGAACCTTAATATAAATTGTAACCTCTGGGTTTATAAGGCTTGTCTGGGGGACCATTACACCATTCCTAGAATGTATTTTACGCTACATTACATGTACTCAACTTTAAGTCCATCTTACTGTATTTGCTGGAAATTTTAAAAAAAGTTACTATGCATCCAAAAATAGTTTCTTAAAATGCACAATATTTCAGTGTGTCTGGAAAGTCTGAGGAATCCAAATCATTTCATTATTAAAGATCAAGATCATTCTGGGCAAAAATGGTCTGATGCTGAAGTAGCTCAATTTCTTTAGCTCATCCAAGAGAAGGTTATGAGATGACTTGATCATGGTTTAGAAGCATCTCTATGAGGAGATCTGACAGTAGAGGAGTAACAGCAGACGGGAAGCTGAAGCAGGACACATTCAAACAGGAACTGAAGCACAATTTGTGTTGGAGGTAACCGTGAGGGTAACTAACCAGTGGAGCAGTTTAGCTGGGTGTGAGGGCCTCTCCGAATCAAGACTGGATCTTTTTAAGACAGTTACTCTAGATCAACCAGAAATGAAAGGCTTGGTGCAGGAATCACTTGGTACAATTCTCTGGCCTGTGTTACGCAGGTGATCAAACTGGAGGATCTTAATGGTTCCTTCTGACTTTAGACTCTATGACTGTGGCTCTTTTTCCAGAGCTGTATAAACGTGATCCTGTAATGTGATATGGTGAAGGCCATGCTGAGGAATGGTCCTGCTCTGTTCTGCCACAGCTTGTGCCCTGTGCCTAGTCTCAAGGACCCGAGACCCCTTTCTCTCGTTTGGCCTGATTCCCCTTCTCCACTCCATGTGTGGCTCTGGAGCAGCAAGTGCTCTCTGGTTTACATCTGAGCACCCACCCGCAAGAGCCGTTCTATGGAAGTCAGCCACTCAGAATGCAAAGTGGAAGAGTCACATCCCTAATGTTTTAACCTGAAGGGAAAGTGTGCCCCACAAAGGGTAACACAAGTGTGTGCACTCCCACTAACTTGGGGAAAGTGCAGGGTTAAATCACAGTATACAATCACAACTACTTCACAAATCCTTTACGGAGTACATGGCTACGTTCTAGCTAACGTTATCTATTGTTATTTTTAAAACGCATTTTTCTCAAAATAACCCGTACCTTTAGCTAAGTACTCAGGACCAACCCTATAACAACCACCTGAGGGTGCTTGTCAGAGGAGCACAGTAACTCCTCGCTTAACGCTGTAGTTATGTTCCTGAAAAATGCTACTTTAAGCAATGTTAAGTGAATCCAGTTCCCCCATAAGAATTAATGTAAAGGGGGGAGGGGGGCAGAGGGTTGAAGCTTGGTTGAGGTGGTAGAGTCAGAGAGTGGAAGAGGGTGGGATATTTCCCAGGGAATGCCTTGCTGGTAAATGATGAACTAGCACTCAGCTGAGCCCTCAAGGGTTAACACGTTGTTAAGGTAGCCACACACTCTACAAGGCAGCACAAATGGAGGGAGGAGACACAGCATGGCAGACACAGACACACACTGCCTCTTTAAGTATGCTGACCCCACTCTGAGTACACTGCCTTTTTAAGTAGATCAACAAGTTGAGACAGCAGCTGCTGCCAGCAAGCTCCCTCCATCCTGAGCCCTGTCGTTTCCCGCCCCTGCTCTGTGGAGATGGGGTACAGAAGCGGGGGGAGGGAGACACCCTGACATTAGCACCCCTCTTCCCTGCCCTCTGCACAGCAAGCAGCAGGCTCTGGGGAGCAGCTCCAAGGCAGAGGGCAGGAGCAGCACATGGCAGTGGGGGGGGGGGAGGGAGGGACAGCTGAATTGCTAAGCAATTGATAGCCTGCTCGGCAGCTGGCACATGGGGAGCTGATGGGGGGGCTGCCAGCCCACCCTGGCTCCAAGCCCCCACCAGCTCCAGTGGGCTGCTCTTCCTGCAAGCAGCGGACAAAGCAGGCGGCTGCCAAACCACATTATCAGGGAGCATTGGCTCAACTTCCAACGAGCCTGTTCTCTGACTGATCAGCAACGTAACAACGAAACAAAGTTAATCGGGACGACGTTAAGTGAGGTGTTACTGTAAGGTCACTATGGAATTTATGTTTGCATGAATATTCTAGAACTGATAAGAACACAGATTCTATTCATGTTTACTTTCAAATAGCTTGTGTTAAGTACTCACGGTCAGAGTTCTCTCCAGCTTGCCAGTCACTGTGCTGAAACAGTACAGCACAAAGTCTTCACCCACGCAGTAGATCCACTCGCCTCGTGGTGAAAGGGCACAGCAAACAAAGTCACCTCCTTCTCTCTTACCAGAGCTGAAGCTTCTTACAATCTATAAAACCCAAAGAAAGGTTCACTGGATTCACATGTGGCAGCTACAACGCGACTCTAACAAGGTTAGCTTCTATTAGATACTGGGGTCATGAATTTAGTTGCCTAACTAATCAGCCTGATTTTCAGAAGGGCAGGGTACCCAGCAGTTACTACTGAAAAGAGATCAGGATTTCACCCACTACACTGCTTGGAAGGGTCACAAATCTCATCCTGATTTCAATACTTGTTAAGCTCTTTCCTAGCTGCTTCAAAGGGACACGCCTGGAATCACATACATACTTGTCCTTGCATG